GACAACCAGGACAGCCAGGACCACCTGGAGGCAATGGAAATCCAGGAGCACCAGGAAACCCAGGAGGCGCAGGAACCCCAGGACCCAAAGGACCCCCTGGACAAGCCGGAAGCCCGGGTCAGCCAGGAGCACCAGGACAGCCAGGAGACAATGCAGTATCGACACCAGCGACACCAGGACCACCCGGACCTCCAGGACCACCAGGACCTTCCGGACCTCCCGGACAGGACGGACAACCCGGAAACCCAGGAGGACCAGGTAAATTAGAAATCTTATTGTCATTCTGATCTAAAATAAGGCGCTAATCTCAAAATGTTATTCAGGCCAACCCGGACCTAAGGGACCACCAGGAGGCGATGGACAACCTGGAAATCCAGGAAACCCAGGTCGCGCTGGCGATCGAGGAGCACCAGCCGGTCCTGGAGAACGCGGTATCTGCCCCAAATACTGCGCCCTCGACGGAGGAGTCTTCTTCGAAGATGGAACGCGCCGTTAATGTGCGGATTTCCAATCCATATCTCTTATGGCTTTATAATAATAAATTTTTCAAAGTCAAATGTAAGCACATGTTCAAGCCAAGAATAAGTGAAACTGGTACGATTAAGTCGCTCCATAAGTTCGTGCCATCTTCATTTTCTTTCCAAAAGTGAAACTGGTAGATCATTGCCTCGGAGGCGGTTGATTTGCGACAGGTTGCGTTGAGAAGTGTTTGTTGTATGTGCTAGTAGGTGTTGAGAAGTGCTGCTCATGCTCTTCAAAAGTTTCAGTTCGAAATTGACCCACTTCTTCACAGCTTCTATGAAATTCTTAAAAACAAAACGCAGCATTTTTGACAACTGCTCATTTGTTCTGGAGTTTGCACTTTAATTGAGTTATAAAAGAATGGGATTCCAACAGACCAAGGGATGAACAGAATGTCCCTCGAACAAGACTTTTCGTGAGACGAGCAAGATGCCCTGCCCAGAAATTTCGCTGGATAAGAACAAACGGTTGACAAAACCGTAAGCAACCAGATGCGCCGTCCAAAGAATCCATCTGTAAAGAAATAGACCCATGGAAAAACTCGAAAAATAGGTCCGGTGGGTTTTCTACATGACAAAATATCGCTCCGTACGGCAAAAACAATCAAACTGTCCTTAAAGGCACCGATCGCAACTCTCGACTTCCATGTTTTGGTTTTTTCGGGGCCCTCATGTCCCTGATTCCGAATATGAAGTCGAGATTACGTGAAACGCCAACCACCGTTCCGGAGAACCTCCAGGGCGGTATCCCGGAGCGATGATTAGATGAGCGCGCGGAGGGGCGGCATTACTGGAGGGGCTGCGCCAACTTGAGATCCTCAGGCCTATTCGCTATTCCAAAGAGATTTTCGCACTTCCGAAGCAACATTTTGCGCCGCGACTTGAGCATTGGCTCGATAGGGGGTCTTACTACCCCAAGCTACCAAAAGGTCAAGACCCCTAGAACTGCAGTAAACCCCCGAAATACGTAGTGATGTAAGGAAAGGTCACGACGTGTCCAACGGATGGACATGCTGCTCACGACCATTCTTTGGTCGCCGCAAAACTTGTGCGCGCACGCGAGATCGAACCTTGCTTTGATCGTCTATGGGGCGCACTGCCGCTGCGCTATTAATATTTATTCAGTCCTAAAAAAAGTTGTAACTAGCGAATCAAACATGCAACAGACAGAGTTGTTTGCGACGTCTTCTGGGCATTGATATGATATGCAAGCTTTGATGTGTATTAGACTCTATGTAAGTGGTAAAGACATGCATTGCCTCCACTATATCCATCAAGGCGCTTGCCAAAGATAGCTGCAAACTGTGCGAATAGAGCAGCGCCAGTATTTGACGCCGTTGGTGTTGTAGTGTTGGGTACGAGAACCATGTGCGCCTATGTTTCGCATGCTGCTGACTAGTTAATTTTTATGTAAATGAACAAAATTTGCTAAGTTGTTTAATAGTGAGAAAGATGGCAATGCAACACATAAAATGTTGACAATACTCAGGATAAATTCAAATTACTGTTTGTTCAGAGTATCGAGTCAGTCCTTTGGATTTTACTAAAGGAAGCAGTGAACTTGACAAATTAATGAGGAAGGGAATGCTTCTATATAGACTTTCACAGTTCAAGACAGTCATGAAGATCTATTTTCTTCATGAATTCTGTTAGGATGTTTTATTATGTCATT